CAAACTTTGAAGCTTTGCAAGCTACCAATAAGGCTTTATAGTCTGGTGATACGTCCAAGAAAAAGGACGTAGATGCCGTAATAGTTGCACAAAGAGCCAAATCCCCTATCAAATGCCAAGCCTATCCGATACCTCCACTCACATACCAGTCTACCCTGAATTACCAAACACCCTCACACTCTTACCAAGCTCCATCACCTACTTACCAATCACCCCCACCTCCTACATATCAACCTATTTCACCCAGATATTCCCAACTCGCACATGTTTACCAAGCCTACAATGCTCAGCCATCCCACTATCAATCACCTCTCACACGTCAAAACTTTCCTAGACCTCGACCAAATTTCGACCGCAGACCCCCCAAACAGTATACCGCCATTGCTGAACCGATTGACCAGCTGTATGAAAGGCTCAAAGCTGCTGGTTATGTCGCCCATATCCCTACTATAACCCCTGAAAACCCTTCTTAGTGGGTCAATCCAAATAAATCCTGTGCATACCATTCCGGCATGAAGGGATATACCATTGATAAATACCGCTCTCTGAAAGATAAGATCCAGGCTCTGATCGATAACAAGATCATTGTAGCAAAAGAGCCTACTCCGAATGTCCGCAACAACCCTCTGCCGGACCATAAGGGTAGATGTGTTCACATTATTGAAATAGAGGATGATTGGGATCCCAAAGGATCAATCGGTTTAATCACAAAAGGTGACGAACCAAAGAAGCCGATAGTCACCCTCAATCCGATCGTAGTCCAGACTCAGCCTTCTAGGGAGGCCGAGGTAAACATGTCTGTACCGCTTGAATTTGAAGCACCACCCCCTACAAAGATGCCAACACCAATTGAAGTCGAGCTTAGGTTTCCAACAAACGCACCCGCACCATTTAAAATTGCGGTTTTACCCTCCAAAATACATGCTCCGTTTAGAGTAAAGGTGCCCATCCCAGTAACAATGTCGGCCGTAACACTGTTCCATACAAATGTCATACCTTGGGATTACACAGCCGAGGCGAGAAGGAAAGGGAAAGCTAAATTCGGGGAAACAGCTGCGGCACAGGGTATGACAAGAACCGGCCGGGTTTATACTCCGGAGCATTTAGCTGAGTCGAGTAAGCGGCCACTGGTCGGCCGACCATCACTGAAACCGGGCCCGATGATCTCTGGAGGAAGATACAAGCCAAGGAATACTCAGCTGAACAAAACACCGGCACATATTTCTATCCTAGCTTTGCTGCAAAGTTTCGACGTACATAAGAATGCCTTGTTGAAGGTGCTGAGTGAGGCATATGTA